CGCCCACAAAGTTACTTGCGCTTTACGCTTTGACACTTGCGTTTCAGATCGTTAAAATAGGGCCCTCGGTCTCTCTCGCGCATTGAGCGCGCTCGCGCCAACCGCTTCGCTTTTGTCCACTCCGGCTGGTAGCAATACACCCAACAAGTATAACCCTCTCATTACATTGTGACACCTGACACTGCACAACAGTAGCCATACAGGAGTCACTCAACTGCTTGGTTTTGTTTTACCTCTTCCTTTTCTTCTTCCTTTATTAGGTAAAATCCCTGTTACCCCATAAGGGTCACGGTTACCATATAAGGATTGACGCACCACGCCTGACGAATGTTAGCCTAGAGAACTCCCTGCATCATTCGAATCAAAATTTGAAAGGTAAATTGGTCTAAACCTAGAACAATTTAGAAGAGAATAAAACAAACAAATCAAATTTAGTCACAAAGTTGATCAATCACCGTTTTAAAACAAACTAGAATAATGGTCCTAGAATTGAACTAAACTTTTTTCACATGATTGACTACATTGAGAGAGTGAACCTGTTTTAGGCCAAGATAATCTAATGCCCTGCACCAGTAAAGTGACCAGTCATGGAGGTGGTTGCCGTGTTGTTTGCTGTGTGTGTTTGCTTCTTCTGTTTCTCCAGCGTTCAATGATGTCTTCTTCTCAACCCATCATCGATCGAAGGGGGGAATATGTAGAGACTTTAAGGATGAACCAAACACAAATTAATCTTTCTAATCTCTCATGGGATTCATTCAAATGTGATTCAGTATTTCGGATCTGAACACCACATTCCAAAGCCAAAAGACGGCTCCAAATTGTCTAGAAAACCCCCCAGAGATAAGCCTAAACAGGAAGAACGTTGTCACTGTTTCATCTTAAGCAAGACAAAGCTGCTCAGAAATGGTGAAACGAGGCCTGACCACCAAGGGGCCTGACCACCTTTGACCTCCCTCAGCATCACCACTGCTGAGCAGGACAGCGATGTAAAACAGACCACGCTTTCATGGAACGTGAGAGACTTACACAGACTTTACATATCAAACCCATTAAAACTCACGCAGAACAATGCTCAGTGGACTTATAATCAAACATCATAATTCTTGTTGTTCCTACAATTCATGTTCGTATTATGCTTAGATCACATATAAATCATGTAATTGTGATATAACTGTGTGTATGGATGAAAGAGTATCGTGCTTCCAATCAAAAGAATCGTATGCCCTTAATTCAAAAGGTGGCTTGTTTGAAATCTGTGTAAAATGTTTTGTATGATTATAATAATCTATAATGTTTAAACTGGGGTCTCTTGTTCTCTGCTAAGTGCTGAAACCCAAGCAGATCCCAGATAACGATAAGTAGGAACTCGATCCACCTCCTAAAATGATGCCATTGTCTCATTGGTCAGAATTCTCCAAAAGAGGTTGGACTAACTTTTAAGTTAAAGAAGAAGAAAAGAGTTAGGAGTTCGGTTCAGAGAGCAGTTCGGGGTTGCTGTTCGGTTTTGAGTTCGGTTCGGTGTTTAATTAAGTTTGCGCCTCTCTCTAGCAACAGCAAGAGAGTGTTCCTGTTCGTGCTTCTCTCTGAAAACAACAAAGAGCGTGTTCGCACGCTTCAACATCGACCAGACCAAATTAGACCAGCAGACAAATAACCCATCGAGATCGGGGTTAAAACAGCTCATTCAAGCCATCTAACTCGTCTTACTTTCATTTCTTCCTTTATTTTCTTTTTTCGTAAAAGTCTCGGTTCAAAGTTAAGTTGCTGCGAAGTTCGTTTAAACGTCTCTCCTGCAACGCGCTTCGAACTGTAAAGACTCTTATTCGCCTGCCAATCACACGTGACCGGCAGTTCGGAAACTTCCATCCAGGCACTTCAAAGACAACCAGCCACACGGACCCGGCCGGGAAACCCCCTTTCGACGAAGCACCGCAAAAAGGGAATTCCCTAAGCAACGCAAAGACAAGCAAGTACTCCAGACTCTAACTGAACTGGTGCGTTAATGTAAATTGAATAACCTGTCTAAGAAACGAAGGTTTAAATTAATGTTTGGTGGTTCGTTCAGGTCATGTCTTACAAAGTGCATCTCACTCTGAAAACTCACTCTTTCTCTCTCTTCCTCTGCGCCTTGTATGAATGTGTGTGTGTGATTGTGTTTAGACCTTAGTTGTATGTGTTTAGAATAGTTAATAAAGTCGTCAATATATTTGAAAAGATATTTGCCTTGTGTTGTGCTTGCACATTTAATGTCTTGTACTGTCGATCTAAAGTTACCTTGCTAATACATAGTGTTTCACTATAGATTGGATATTTATATCTGTTGCCAAGGTTATAATTACGGCCCGTTCAAATGAACTCTAAACGAGTCATTTGCTCGGTTCCATAGTGATTCGGTCAAGATTCATTGCAAATCGATGAATCATTCCTTTTGAGCTAAATTGGCCTTCCGGCCCCCCTTAAATACATTTTATGTATATTATTATTGTGTGATTCGTTACAAGCACGTTCAAATAAATCATTCCAATCAACTCGTCACCAAACTATTACATGTCTACCCTATCAGCACGAGAGGAAGCATATATAAATATCCACTGTCAACTCACCTAACATTCCTTGACAGTTTCAGCATTTGGTCCCGCCCTTTTGCCACAATGTCAGAGATCGAACTCTACCCTTCCGATGACGACTCCTTCATCAGCCAGGCTCCATCTCAGCTCCCTATCACCGCTACGAGTTCCCAGGCTCAACAGGATACCGCTCCCGAACCTCCAGCTTCACGGCGCGGCCGCCGGCCTAGCCGAGCCGCCTCTCGTACCCCGAGGCGCCGTGGTTTGCCCTCACCTCCATCATCAAGACCTCCACCATCTCCAGCTTCCTCCTACACCTCAGCACAACCCAATATTCCGGCAATCGAGAAATGGACAGTGCTGGGGCTGAGAAAAGCGCTAATCAGCGCTGACGTTCATTTTTCTAGGAGGATGAACAAATCGCAACTGTACAACTTGTTTGTTTCTCTCCAGGCAGCTTTCCCTTCTCCGAAATCCACTCCACCTTCAAAAACAGCAAAAAAGGCAAGTAACAAAACATCAAACTCACGTTTTCAGAAAACTCCTTCTCCCGACGACGCAGGGCCCAGTTCTACGCGAGCGCCAGGCCTTCAGCTAGCCGGCAGATTCCGCCGCCGCCAGGCCCCACTCCTCTCTCCGCTCTGCTGAGCCACAGACCGTGGCGTTTTCCAGCACCGCACCTCACGCTACTTTGCCAGTTTCATGCGAAACAGGCCGCTCTTTAAACGTGAGTATGCCAACGCTTCAAGCCCAACCACCCCACCATCCTCCCGTAACTTTTTCCAACCCTTTTTCCTGTCCCTGGCCTGCAGTCCCACCGTCAGTCTCTAGCGCGAGGTTGCCTCAGCTAGAGCCGCAGGCCCACTCACACTTCCTACCTCTCCAGCTCTCTTCTTTCCCAACTTTTCCAGCTCCCCCCCAAGCTTTAGGGACCGACCCAAGTGTGAGGTTGCCTCCACAAACGGCTTCGGTCCCGGGCTTTTTCCCTCCTAATACTTTTCCCCAAAACCATTCTTCTTCCACCCTATTTTCCGCAACGCCGATGCCCATCCCACCGAACGCTACAGCTATGGAACCGCCCCTCGTGACCAACAACATCAGAGCCCAGATACTCACAGGTGCGGATATTGATTTATTCTCTCTTCTATCTATCCTCCCTTCCTCTGTTTCAAATAGGCAAATCGATTGCGGCGATTTTGCAGTCACCTTGAAAAACCCAGTTCACAATTCATCCCGCATCCTGTCATTTTCCGAATTCGCAATTGCTTTCAGCCGGTGTAGCGAAATCATTTGCGCCGCACTCCCCCACAGAAGACGAGAACTGAACGACTATCTCGCGATAATTGCAGAGCTCGCGTTGTCATATGGAGGAACACATTTTTACACTTACCACAAATTGTTCTCAGCAAAATGTGCCGTCCGTGTAGCTCAGTGGAACCAGTGCCCTTACTGGGGAGCCCTTGACACAGAGCTACACAACAGAGTGTTCTTAGGCTGCCGCAACATATCCTGCGCAGTTTGCAGATCTGTCTCTCATTCCACCACAGCTTGTCCTTTGATTAACCCCGAAAATCCTCCCCGCCCAGATTCATCAGCTGGAAAATCAACCAGTTATGTCCCGCGACCAGCAAACTTTAATCCCAACGACTCAGCTACGGATTCCCAAAGAAGAAAAATCTCATTCCCATCCAACAACCAAGCCTGCAATAATTTCAATGCGGGGCGTTGCCTAAGGCAACGCTGCCGTTTTTTACATTTTGCAGCTACTGTGGCGGCGCGCACGCGCGCACTATATGCCCTGTCAAAAGGTCCGTAAATAAAGATTAAAAAAACTACTTATCGACTCCTGTGAATTTTTCCCGTCTGTCTTCTGAATTATCCCACCACCCTAACACTGATTTTAAGGACTATTTACTGTCTGGTCTCGAGCATGGCTTTAATCCGGGCGTCGAAAGCCTCCCCACACAGAGTATCATATGTGATAATCTCCAATCTGCTTTCGCCGAACCTGACACAGTCGACACCCTGATTAAAAAAGAAATCGAATCGGGCTTTATGATTGGTCCTTTTGACATTCCTCCTTTTGAACATTTCCGTATCAGCCCAATTGGAGTGGCCACCAGGAAATTTTCAGGCAAAAAACGCCTTATAATCGATCTTTCAGCCCCCCATAATTCTCCGTTTCCAAGCATTAACAGCCTCATCTCGCTCGAACAATTTTCTCTTCATTACCACACCATTGATCAAGCCATAACATTGATTAAAGACGCAGGTTACGGCGCTTGGCTTGCTAAAGTTGACATCACCTCTGCCTTTAAAGTGATGCCCATCCACCCGGATTCGTGGCATTTGTTCGGCGTACGATGGCAAGGAAAATTTTATTTTTCTGTCCGTTTAACTTTCGGCTGCAAAAGTAGCCCCAAAATTTTCGACATGCTATCAGAGGCTATTTGTTGGATTCTTTCCAATAACTACTCGATACCCTACCTAATCCACTTGCTAGACGATTTCCTGATCATCTCTCCGCCTGAATCCATCCCAGCCGCACATCTTCTCACAGTCCAAAAAGTCTTCAGCGAGCTCGGGATTCCAATCGCCCAAGAAAAAACCATGGGTCCAGCCACATCCATCGAATTCCTGGGCATTAAATTGGACACAATCAACTTCCAGGCCTCACTACCCAAGGAAAAAATCGACAGGATTATTCTGGTCGCATCCACCCTTCTAGAAAATCCAAATTGCTCTAAACGAGAGCTTCTATCTCTGCTCGACCATTTAAACTTTGCGATGCGCATTATCCCACAAGGTCGCCCTTTCATCTCACATCTCCTCTTCCTTGCATCATCAGTTCACGAGCTAGAGGACCAAATCTCCCTAACTACTTCATGTAGCAACGAGCTCAGTTTATGGATAACATTCCTTAAACAATGGAACGGCCTGTCTTTTTTCTATAATAATCTGATTTCTCTCCCTACGGATATCCAACTGTTCACAGATGCAGCTCCTTCCGTTGGTTTCGGAGGTTTCTACCAAGGTCGTTGGTTCGCGTCTACATGGCCAGCCCAGTTCAACCAGCCTTTTCCCAGTTTTTCTCTGCTCAACATCACTTCATTTATATCCTATCTGGACAGCACCAAGAACCTCAAAGCCCGCTCCATCAAGGGCTATCTAAGCGGAATCCAATTCTTCCACAAACTCCTTTTTGGTTCACCCTCCGCAGACATAGCAAATTCCCAGACATCAATGCTTATCAAAGGCATCCAAAAAACCCAACCAACCCGTCCAGATGCCAGACAACCAATAACCTTGGACATACTCACCAAATGTATCTCTACCCTCCGCCGAGGCTACCACTCCACCAACACCGCCCGCACACTGGATGCCATGTTCATATTGGCTTTCTTCGGTTTCCTCAGATGCTCAGAACTCACCATCACTTCCAACTTCAACCCTAAAGTCCATCCCACAATCTCAGATCTTTCAGTATTAGACAACAAAACCATTTCTTACTTCATCAAACAAAGCAAGACAGACCAAATGAAAAAAGGCCACTTCATATACATCTTCAATCTCCAATCACCAATCCAACCATACCAAACTCTCTTCGCGTACTCACAATTCAGAAACTCTCAGACCAAGTCCCCTTCCGACCCACTCTTCACCGACGAATTCAATCGCCCCGTTACACGTTTCTGGTTCCAAAAACATCTCAAATCCATCTTACTCCAAGCAAACATCCCAGCAAATAATTTTTCCAGCCATTCATTCCGCATAGGTGCAGCAACCACAGCTGCCCAAAAAGCCCTTTCCCAGCAGCAAATCCAAGAGCTCGGCCGCTGGTCGTCGGAGGCCTTTAAGAGTTACATCCGTTCTAACCACCTCCATACCAAAGAAGCCCAACGATCCCTACTCAGCTAAACGTCCTCTCAACCTACCATAGGATCCCAGGAAGCAAGCCAAAGGCAAGTCCATCTATCGTTGCAGCAGCACCCTCTACTCCGCCCGCAGGAACTCCATTAACTCGATCAAAGTCTGATCCACTGCCGCAGCAGTGTCATCTACCCCGCTCCCGCAGGAGCTCCATTACTCCATCCAACTTGCTCCACTGCCTCAGCAGTGTCATCTACTCCGCTCCCGCAGGAGCCCCATTATTTCAAGCAAGTCTGGTCCACTGCCGCAGCAGTGTCGTGCACTCCGCTCCCGCAGGAGCTCTGTTACTCCATCCAGCTTGCTCCACTGCCGCAGCAGTGCCATCTACTCCGCTCCCGCAGGAGCTCCATTAACTTAAAGCAAGTCTGGTCCACTGCCGCAGCAGTGTCGTGCACTCCGCTCCCGCAGGAGCTCTGTTACTCCATCCAGCTTGCTCCACTGCCGCAGCAGTACCATCTACTTCGCTCCCGCAGGAGCTCCACCAACCTAAAGCAAGTCTGGTCCACTGCCGCAGCAGTGTCGTACACTCCGCTCCCGCAGGAGCTCCGTTACTCCATCCAACTTGCTTCACTGCCGCAGCAGTGTCATCTACTCCGCTCCCGCAGGAGCTCCAGTTACCTAAAGCAAGGTTGGTCCACTACCGCAGCAGTGTCGTGCACTCCGCTCCCGCAGGAGCTCTGTTACTCCATCCAGCTTGCTCCACTGCCGCAGCAGTGCCATCTACTCCGCTCCCGCAGGAGCTCCATTAACTTAAAGCAAGTCTGGTCCACTGCCTCAGCAGTGTCGTGCACTCCTCTCCCGCAGGAGTTCCGTTTACCAAAGAAGTCTGATCCACTGCCGCAGCGGTGTCTTCTCCTTCTTTTCCATCCACCTTATTTCCACCGTATCAGCCATACCATCCTCCTCCGTCCCTGCACCATTTACAACCTTCCACCCAAGAGGCACACCCATCCAACTCCAAGTCAACCTACTCCCGTCCTACGTTAAAAGAAACCTCCCAGCAACCACCTCTTCCCGCAGCTGATATCTTAAGCTTTACATTTCACAAGTTTTTGGGGGGTCATCAGCATCATTCTGGCGGCTGTCCTGCATTTTATTTCACAGTTTTTGGGGGAGTACTATGGGTTCGGGCCGCATACCGAGCCCGGAGCCCTCTCCTCGGACAGCACGCCAAATATGCATTTATTCTATCTGACTTATTTGGAAGTGTGAACTCGTGAAATGATGTTTTATAAACAAGGTTCGGGAGGAGCACGTTCAAATAAATCATTCCAATCAACTCGTCACCAAACTATTACATGTCTACCCTATCAGCACGAGAGGAAGCATATATAAATATCCAATGTCAACTCACCTAACATTCCTTGACAGTTTCAGCATCCCTCCACCACCCCGACTCCTCACTCCTGGCTCATTCTTCCACAGTCAGGAACGGGGGAGTACTATGGGTTCGGGCTGCATACCGAGCCCGGAGCCCTCTCCTCGGACAGCACGCCAAATATGCATTTATTCTATCTGACTTATTTGTAAGTGTGAACTCGTGAACCCACATGATGAGAGATGTTGATGTATTGGCTTAAAATATGCTGATTTTATTCTGTGTGTGGATGGAGCTTAACCAGCATCAGTTTAAATATTTATTTGTTGGTCTTTTTTGCCTTTTATTATAATAAGACAAAATGTGGACAGGAAGCCAAGTGGAAGAGAGAGGGGGACTGGATCAAGAAAACTCCACTAGCCGGTACTTAAACTCGGGTGAGTCGAAGTGCAATGACACTAAATGACTGTGCACTGCCCACGAGGCTATCGGCGCTGACTAGCCAGACTCAGTTTTGTAAATTTTAGAACCTCATTGTGTGAGAAACATGGGGGGAACAGAATCCGGCGGCAAACAATCCAGCTGTCAGAGTCCGTCCCCACACTCCCATCATGAGAGATGTTTATGTAGTGACTTAAAAGATGCTGATTCTATTTTGTGTGTGGATGGAGCTTAACCAGCATTGGTTTCAATGTTTGTTTGTTTTTTTGGCAGTTTTGCATTTGCAAAAGACCACCCATTGCCCTCCTCTTCAACTCCCATAACCACTTCCTGCAACCACAAACAAACACCTTAATTTGGCATGCCCCAAATGAAATGACTTCAAGGTGACAGGTGACACTGCCCAGGGCACCTGCTGCCTCGACACCTGCTGCATAAGCCCAGGGACCTGAAGCTAGCAACTGTCTACACCATCCGCCATGGCACAAAAACCACTAAAGGATGCAAGAGCAACCAGGTAGCCACCACGGCCTTCTAGCCTTGAGTGGTGAGTGCGTGTCTGATCGTTCAGCACCTTTGACGTTGCTCGCTGTTGTCTAGGATGGACAACAATTTTCAAAAGGAGGGATATATGTAGCATCTGAACCAATTAGACACAGAGTTCTGTTAGAGTTCTGTGAACGACGCCTGAACTGCAACTAACACCCAGGTAGAACCAGGCCTCTGATTACCATAGCAGCAAAGGTTTTGTAATAATTGTGGCCAACATGTACTAGTGAAATTTTATTTCATAATGTGAGTTTCACCCCACTTTCAATTGTTTTACGTCAATGAAAGGTTAGAATTTTTTTTATTTTTAAATGAAAGATCAAAGGGATAAACAATGTAGGAATATTTTTTTTACAGCCGCCTTTGCTCATTTTACCAACGGTGCCAATATTAATGGACGGCACTGTAGACCCCTTGTTAACAAGATGCTTTGAAATAAGAAACTGATAGTTCTGTTCAGATGGTTAAATTACTCTTTTCATAGCTCTGGGGCCAAGAGGAATATCCTTTCTGAGAGTTGATAAACAATCAATACTGGACAAACTGATTAATTGATTGTAATATTAATGCAGCTACATCAAGTTAATTCTATTAACTGGTCCAAATATTTATAATAAATTGTAACAATTTAAATTCATTATTCATATTTCCCTTTTGAGGTAATTTGCTACATTAGTCTTGATACTTTTCCGGTTTAAGCCTGTGTTAAGGCTGTTTCATACAGATATCAAAACATAATTTTTTCATTGCAACTTATACATATACAGATAACGGCTATGCTGCACACCCCTTTTACAGATTCATCATTTTCAAGCTACAGTGAGCAGAAAAGCTAGTCACTTTTTTATTCTTATAACCTTGAGTTGGAGCTAAAAATAGAAAATGAGGAATATTTGAAAAAGTAGACTCCTTTGAAAGCCACATAAAAATGAAAATGAATGTCCTGGAGAAGCTGGCAGAGTCAATTTGTCACTTCCTGGCTTACTTCATTTTTTCACAGCTTTACGTTATTATGATTTTGGGGGGAAAGTAGATTTAGCCTTGATTAGTAAACATCACTGCTTGACTGAAACAGGTTCTGAAAAAATGTAACTGTGTGAAGGCATAAATTAAGTTTGTCATTTCTGGCTGAAGTACTTGGTCAACAAGAGAAGCAAAAATGGGCACAGGAGGGGGGCAACACCCCCCCCCCAAAAAAAAAGGTCTTCTTCCTGACCACCCAACGAGAGTAAATGAAGATGCCTTGGAGAAAAAAAAGAGAGAGAGTCCCCATAGAAGAAGAGGTAAAGTACAACTTAAATACAGTATAATTGTGCAATATGGGCTAAAAAGTGTAGGAATAAAGGTTTGGAGTGCTATCCATGGGTAAAGTTTATTCTAATATTGAGAATAAGCTTTCAGAATATTGAAAAGAGCACGCCAAGCAATTTCGAGATAATGGCTTGATAGCAGACTTGGCAGTTCATATCTCCCCAGAACGAAACTCCCCAGAGAAAAAACTAAATGGGCAAAGGGACCATGGACACGGGATGACCCTAAAAGCATAAAAATGCAGCCTCACGCAAAGGACTGCCTAGGAACAGAGGGTGCAAGGCACGTCTACCGTAGCACAAATAGCCAGGTATGGACGTTAAAGTTTATATAACATCTCAACATCGCCAGACAATACAGATTAGTAAGAAGGAGAAATGTGTGAATTACCATTGTAGCACTGTAAGCGATCAGGCTTGTATAGTTTATGAGCTTAGCTTAAACTGAGCGGAGAGTTCAACACGCCAGCATTGAAGCAGTCAATAGCAGTACACTAAAGTGCTTAGCACTTGCTTGGTGCTTAGCGCAGGGAGCATCTCCCATGTACAATGAAAGTATCACCCACACCCTTTCATGCTGGAGGCAAGGCCGACGCACCAAATAAACGCGGGGACAGAGCGTGCAGCGATGCAAAAAAGGGCAGAGAACCCTGCTGCACTTTGAAGGGAAGACCTGGAAATGTCTTTAAATAGGATATCCGTGTTGAACAAGAATTTCATGCCGACTGTCACAACGATAGAGCAGATGAGCGGGTCTTCCCATGACGACAGCGGTGAAGCATGTAGCTTCACACAGGATTACCCCATACCAAGTGTATGAAGGGGGCGGGCTGTGAAATCCCTTGAATAGATGGTTTGTGGCTCGTGTCACTTCGGGCAGTGCAGTTCATGATAGAATAATACACATGAAGCTAAATCATCCAATGTGAGTGGCCGCTACTTAAAGGTGCACTATGCAGGAATTCCGTTTTGTCAAACAGCGACACCTAGAGTTGCTGTGGAGTACTTGTACTGTCGTAAATAGCACTCACGCAAAGATGGCTCTGCACTCATGGCCTGATCCCCTCCCCCTGAACACCAGTACCTGTTCAGTAGGATGGAAGCTGTAACGAGTTGAAATAAGGTGTGCCCCCTTTAAGAGCTGCGCGCACCCTGTTTAACTGTCGGCAGTCTGTATTGTATGTGCGCCTCGAACACCACATGTATACGGCGCCGGGTTATTTCTGCTTGATGCTTATTTTATCAGATCTTTTTTGCCGTAAAGCAAAACCTGATATCACGCGACACTTCCTGATGCTGCGGCCGGCGACTCGCTGGCTCAAAGTTGCAAGTGTGTTTTTTCCGCTCACATGCGATAGGGGGGTGCGAAG